AAGAGAGAAAAGATCGAGAAGATGACGTAAAATGCCGTAGTTGAGGAAGAAGGAAGGAAACACACATCGTAGAGGACAAAAGCGAGAGAGAAGAGCCAGAAGGAAAAAGAGAAACGAAGAAAGAGCGTAGAATATACATATATATATATAAATATATATAAATTGATATACGATATATAAATAAACATAAATGCAAATATAAATATAAATACAGATATAAATATAATATAAATGCAAATATGAATATAAATATGGACATAAGTATATAAATAAATTATATATATATATTATATTATATATACATATATATAAAAAGTACGGATATTATTACCACCGATCACGGTGGACGGTGTTGATCGTCGCGGAGGCGATTATCGAGCGATCTCCAAGTCGATCGATCGATCGATAACGGCTGTTGCGCGTCTTAAATTTGAGCGTGAGAGTGAGAGAGACAGAGAGAAAGGTTGCGCGAGAAACAAGAGAGTGTGAGAGAATAAAATTCGATGATCTATTTATATATTGCGCCGAGAGGGGCTCGTCTCGATAGTTAGATCGTTACGTGACACATATCCAGTGGATTAGAAACTATCGACGACGACAACGTACAATATTAGGTGTCTATATCGATCTAGTTTCCACCCCACTCGCAGAGAATTTTCACTTCGTTTTTCCACGGACAGGGGTGAAAGGGAGTCGGCGGGATGTGACGGAATAAAAAGGTGTAAAAAGGGAAATAAGAGAGATAAAGAGACTCGACGCGATTTTTCTCGAGTAGGAGAGAAGTCTGTCGCTTTCATCCGTTCGAGGCTAAAGTGGAGAGACGACACAATTCTAATTTTTCACCCTCAAAAACTACTCGCTCTCCTAGACCGGAAGAGAAGACAAGAGAGAAAGAGAGGGAGAGCGAAGGCTACGACCGATATTGTGACTGCTATCTCAACTCGCCCGACTTTTCATAAATAAATTACAATCGAAGGGAAGAAACAGGCATCAACGAGAGGGGAAGGGATAGAAGGAGCAAGGGAAGGAGAGCGATGAAGCAAGAGAGCTTTCTCGAAAAATCCTCGGGATAGCGTTTCTTCTCGAACGGGACGAAAAGTAGCTGAAGTGAAGAAAAACACGAGAGCAGTTCGTACGACAATAAGGTATCGATTAGTTAATCAGAGACGAAATAATGTAAAATACAAGTGCAAAAACAGGTATACATTATTATTATTATATTTATTGTAACGCGCGCGAATTTTCGCAGCGTATATATACGCGCGAAGGAGTGCTGGCCCACCCTCCGGGTGTAAAGGGGAATGGACGATAATCGCGCAATTAGCATCGGGGCTCCGATCCGGGAAATTCAACAAAATCAGAGTGGACGAAGGAGTGGCGTACGGCATAGATTTACGTAAAGTAAAACGCGCGATCAAATCCGCGCCTCGTTCCATTCCTCGGGAAAGAAAAAAGGGAAAGCGAGAGGAAGGGTCCTGTCGCGAGGATGATTTCGTCCACTGAAGAATCGTGATTGACACCTCAAGCCCGGCGAGCGACGTCGTAATGACAATTCGGTCGTGGGAAGGGGGGGGGGAATAGGGTACATACGTGATCACAAAATCGAATATATGTAAAAAAAAAAAATATATATATATATAGAAGTTTATTTAACTATTTTTCTGAACAATTGCATCTTCGAATCGCGGTGATAATGTTGCGAGCGAAGGGTTCGGGTTTGGGGTGTTAACACCGGCAGGAAAGCGGGAATCGATCGGGAGTGTCCATCGCGTGTGTGTACCATAAGTCGAGTGAAGTTGCGACGATGACGAGAGAGAGAGAGAGAGAGAGAGAGAGAGTGTGTGTGTGTGTGTGTGTGTGTGTGTGTGTGTCATTAATTTATTTATACGATTACGTATATCCGTTAGTAGAGACAACCAAGTATGGTTATACGAGCCCGAGCGACGCTGTCGTTGCGACGGGACGGTTCGCGGTTCGTGCCATTGAATTTTCTTACGCTGTCGACGGGCCGACGATCGATACTTGTGAAAATGACGGGATCGAACTCGCGACTGTTCCTCACAGTCGCGAATCCCCCTGCCGCAAAATCTGCTCCCTCGGCTCGATCCGCCGATCCGACGTCGGTCTACTTCCCTTTCTTTCGGAAGGCCGGTCGTCGTCTACGGGGGCGGGATCATCCGACGATCTGAAAACGTGCGAGTAGGGGGAGAGTGCGAAGTTTCGATCCCGACATGTACCGAGATGTGTAATTATGTAATAGACACAAC